TCATAAAGATTAGAGCAGAAATAAATGAAATAGAGACTAAAAAAAACAATAGAAAAGATCAATGAAACTAAAAGCAGGTTCTTTGAAAAGATAAAATTGATAAACCTTTGGTCAGACTCATCAAGAAAAAAAAAAGAGAGGGCCCAAATTAATAAAAATCAGAAATGAAAAAGGGGAAGTTATAACAGACGCCACAGAACTACAAGGGATCGTAAGAGGCTACTCTGAAGAACTATAAGCCAACAAAAAGGACAACATAGAAGAAATGGACAATTTCTTAGAAAGATACAATTTGCCATGACTAAACCAAGAAGAAATAGACAATATGAATACACCAATTACCAGTACTGAAATTGAGTCAGTAATTTAAAAACTCCCAACAAACAAAAGTTCAGGACCAGATGGCTTCACAGGTGAATTTTACCAAACATTTAGAGAAGAGTTAACACCTGTGCTTCTGAAACTATTCCAAAAAATTGCAGAGGAAGGAAAACTTCCAAACTCATTCTCTGAGGCCATCATTACCCTGATACCAAAACCAGACAAAGATATCACAAAAAAAAGAAAGGCCAATATCACTTATGAATATAGATGCAAAAATCCTCAATAAAATACTAGCAAATTGACTCCAACAATGCATTAAAAGGATCATACATCACGATCAAGTGGGATTTAACCCAGGGATGCAAAGATTTTTCAGTATCTGCAAATCAATTCAATGTGATACAACACATTAACAAAGTGAAGACTAAAAGAAAAATGGTCATCTCAATAGATGCAAAAATCTTTTGATGAAACTCAACATTCATTTATGATAAAAACTCTCCAGAAAGTGGGCATAGACCAAACATACCTCAACATAATAAAGGCCATATATAACAAATTCACAGCTAACATCATACTTAATGGGGAAAAGCTGAAAGCATTTCCTCTAAGATCAGAAACAAGACAAGGATGCCCACTCTCACCACTCTTATTCAACATAGTTGTGGAAGTCTTAGCCATAGCAATCAGAGAAGAAAAAGAAAGAAAAGGAATCCAAATTCGAAACAAAGAAGTAAAACTGTCACTGTTTGCAGATGACACGGTATTACACATAGAAAACCCTAAAGAAGCGACCAGAAAACTACTAGAACTTTTCAATAAAATTGGTAAAGTTGCAGGATACAAAATTAATATACAGAAATCAGTTGCATTCTTATACACTAACAATGAAATAGCAGAAAAAGAAATTAAAGAAACAATACCATTTACCATCACACCAAAAAGAATAAACTACCTAGGAACAAACCTACCCAAGAAGGCAAAAGATCTGTACTTTGAAAACTATAAGCCACTAATGAAAGAAATTGAAGACAACATAAACAAATGGAAAGATGTACCGTGTTCTTAGATTGGAAGATTCAATATTTTTAAAATGGCCATACTACACAAGGCAATATACAGATTCAATGTAATCTCTATCAAATTATTGATGACATTTTTCACAGAGCTGGAACAAAAAATGTTAAAATTCGTATGGAAACACAAAAGACCCCGAATAGCCAGAACAATCTTGAAAAAGAATAGAGCTGGGGGAAATCACATGCCCTGACTTCAGACTATACTACAAAGCTACAGTAATCAAAACAGTATGTACTGGCCCGAAAACAGACACATAGATCAGTGGAACAAGATAGAAAGTCCAGAAATAAACCTACACACTTATGGTCAATTAATCTACAACAAAGAAGGCAAGAATATACAATGGAGAAAAGCAGTCTCTTCAATAAGTGGTGCTGGGAAAACTGGACAGCTACATGTAAAAGACTGAAATTAGAACATGCTGTAACACCATATACAAAAATAAACTCAAAATGGGTTAAAGTCTCCAATGTAAGATGAGATACTGTAAAACTCCTAGAGGAAAACATAGGCAGGACACCCTTGGACATAAATCACAGCAATATATTTTTCAAACCAGCTCTGGGAGTAATGGAAATGAAAGCAACAATATATAAATGGGATCTAATTAAACTTAAAAGCTCTTGCATAGTTAAGAATACCATGAACAAAACAAAAAGACAACCTACAGAATGGGAGAAGATATTTGCAAGTGATGTGACCAACAAGGGACTAATTTCTAAAATGTACAAATATCTCATACACCTTAATATAAAAAAACAAAACATTCAAAAAAAAAATGGGCAAAAGACCTAAACAGACATCTCTCCAAAGAAGACATACAGATGGCCAACAAGCACATGATAAGATGCTCAACATCACCAATTGTTAAGAGAAATGCAAATCAAAATTACAATGAGGTATCACCTCACATCAGTCACAATGGCCATTATTTAAAAGTCTACAAGTGATAAATGCTGGTGAGGGTGTGGAGAAAAGAGAACCCTGCTACACTGTTGGTGGGAATCTAAATTGGTACAGCCACTGGAGGACAGTATGGAGTTTCCTTATAAAACTAAAAATAGACTTCCGTATGATCCAGCAATCCCACTCCTGGGCATATATCTGGAGAAAAATATAATTTAAAAAGACATATGCACCCCAATGTTCATAGCAGCACCATTTACAATAGTGAAGACATGGAAACAACCCAAATGTCTACCAACAGATGAGTGGATAAAGATGTGGTATGCACAGACACACATGCGCGCGCGCACACGCACACACACACACACACAATGGACTAGTACTCAGCAATAAAAAAGAATAAAATAATGCCACCTGCAGCAACATGGATGGACCTGGAGATTGTCATTCTAAGTGAAGTAAGCCAGAAAGAGAAAGGAAAAATACCATATGATATCGCTTATATGGAATCTAAAAAAAAGGACACAAATGAACTTATCTACAAAACAGAAACAGACTCACAGATAAAGAGAACAAACTTATGGTTACCAGGGGTAAAGGTTGTGGGAAGAGATAAATTGGGGATTTGAAAACACCTTTTGGAGCATGATAGAAATGTTAGCTATCTTGATTGTGGTAGTGGTTTCATTAGTGTATACATCTACCAAAATTCATCAAATTGTACATCTGAAATATGTGTAGTTTACTGTACAGGAACCATACCACAGTAAGGGTGTTAAAAAGAAAAACAAGAAAAAGATTCCCAAAGTTGTCATCTGTCCTGCTCTATGTGGAACAAGTTTATCTTTCCCCCACATATATTCTTAAACAAATCATTTAAACTACAAAACTATCCTCATTTGTAACTAGACAAATAATACTTCTTGAGCTTTCCCAAGGCCTGATAAGGTACTTTAAATGTATTATCTCATGAAATTATTCCACCAACCCTATGAAACTGAGGTTGAGAGGTTTGGGTAATTCTAAAGTTGGCGTTTAAACCCAGGTATGTGGACTACACAGCTCATTTTTCCCTCTGTACCTCACTGCTTTCCCAACTCCCCAAAGATAAGGACTAAAATTTATTCTTCACCGTATCAAACATAAAACGTACAATAAAAGCTGACACTGGTGAAAAATAAGAAAACACCTTCCCAAACTGAGAACCTTTTCAAGTAGAAGATCTAAAGAAGGCTGCTTTCCTGGGGAAAATCCTCCCTTACCCGCTCTACTCCCACCGTCCACCTTATCTCTGGTTTAGCAACACAGTTCATCAAAAAAGAGACATTCATTTGTTTATTCCCCTCCCCAGTTCCCCTCTGCAATTTTCCAGCCCAACAAAACATCTCAAACCCAGATGGCCCTGGGGATGAGGCTAATCTATTAATACTCCAGAGACAGCAGTTTCTATGGACATGGAATGATGATCCAAGGTCATCTTTCTCAGGAATTATTTTAACTAAGGAAGTGAAGTTTACTGTTTTATTGAATGGAATTAGTCACATCACTTCATTTGTATTGCCTCATATAGTTCAAGATTATCACTTCAATCGCCAACTTCCTCAACGACAGCATTTAACAAATCTTCACTAAACAATGGATCCCCTCCCAAGCTTAGAGGTACTGAAGACAAGCAGCCCAGCTCTGACACTGTTCTCGGCTACAATGCTTTAGTCGTAAGTAACAGCAAACCCAACTAGGAATTTTATTCTCTTACATAACAAGTTTGGCAGTAGGGAAGTTCCAGCGTTGATTACTTCAGTGGTTGAAAAGGTATCAAAGGCCAAATTTTTTCCGTTTTTCTACTCTGGCATCCTCAAGATGTTGGCAATTATTATTTCATAGTATCGTCACAATAAGCCTGTGAGTTTCATTAAAGCTGCCGCTTGGTGGTTGGCTGCTATGAGGAAAACAGGGTTCTCATATGTACTTTGGAAGGCAATTTAGAAGTAACCACAGAATTTTTTTTAATGTGCATATCCCTTGATCTAACAATTTTGCATGTCTAAGAATTCATCTCAGAAAATATTAAGTGGACAAAAATGAGTGTAAAGGTGGTGTTCATTACAAAACTTTTTTACAGCAAAAAATGAGAAACATGCTAAACTACCCATCAATAAGGTGCAATTACTTAAATTGAGAGACTTAACATAATGATTGGAACACATCACAGCAGTTTAAGATGGAACTATGTCCAAATTTTGTTGGTAAGAGTGACATTGCAAAGAATATGTGTGTATAAATACACAGAAATACCTATGACACTAAAAACACAGGCAATAAAAGCAAAAATAAATTGGATTACACCAAAATTTAAAACTTGTGTGTATCAACAGATCATCAACAGAGTGAAAAGGCAACCCACAGAATGGGAGAAAACATGTGCAAATCATTTATTTGATAAGGGGTTAATATTAAGAATATGTAAAGAACTCCTTAAAACTAATTACACACACACACACAAAACAACTGTTTAAAAATGGGCAGAGGACTAGAATAGACATTTCTCCAAAGAAGACACACAAGTGACAAATAAACATGAAAATATGCTCAACATCACTAAGTGCTATAGAAATGCAAATTAAAACCACAGTGAGACATCACCTCACAACCATTAGGATGACTGCTATCAGAAATAAAATGTTTGCCTTTCTGAAAAATCAACAAGATGGCAGAAGAGGAGCAGAAGCAGCAGACCCCCTGCAAGTTTGCCTCCTGCAGTGTGGACCTCGTAGGATATGTTCTACCAACAGCTGATACAGCTGTACAGTGCCCAGCAACTGCTGAACAGGGCGTGCAGGGGAAGCAGTGCTTCCTGCAAAAGCACCTGTGCAAGGCTAAGAAGGCACTGCCCATGGAGGAGCCTGAGGTGATGATGATGTACCTGCAGGACATGACCATCCTGCCTGCAATGGTGGGCAGCACAGCAGGTGTCTACAAGGGTAAGACCTTTAACCAGATGGAATCAAGCCTGGGTTCTCAATCACCTACACAGCCGGTCAGCATGGGGGCCACTCCTCCCACTTCATCCCCTTCAAGTAGCCTGCTTGGTGAATAAAGGTACAGACTTCGATCAAAAAAAAAAAAGTAGTTTTGCCTGGGACATGGAGAAAACAGAACCTTTGTGCACGGCTGATGAGAAAGTAATAGGTGAAGCTGCTGTGGAAAACAGTACAAAGGCTCCTCAGAAAAACTCGGAGCATATACTCAGAAGAATTCAAAGCAGGGTCTCAAAGAGAAATTTGTACACCAATGCTCACAGCAGCATTATTTACGATAGTCAAAAGGTAGAAGCAACCCAAATGTCTACTGACAGTTAAGTGTATAAAGGAAACACAGTATATGCATATGCAACATGACTCAGCCTTAGGAAGGAAGGAAATTCTGACACATTCTACAACATGGAGGAACGTTGAGGACACCATGCCAAGTGAACTAAGTCAAAAAAGACAAATACTGTATGACTCTACTTATGTGTGGAATCTAGAGTAATCAAACTCAGAAACAGAAAAGAATGGTGGTCACTAGGGGTTGAGGGGAGGCAGGGAAGGGAAGTTGTTGTTTAATGGGTAGAGTTTGGTTTTTTGCAAGATGAAAAAGTTCTGAAGATTGGTGATATAACTATGTGAGTATAATTAACACTTCTGAGCTGCACACTTAAAAATGGATAATAAATATTGTGTATTTTACTAAAATTAAAAATTTTAAATAAAAAGTTTTAAAGTAAAAATGCCAGTATGAGAAATAAACCCAGGTAAACATATTTGTAAAGAGTTCAGAAAGATAAGCACCTAACTCTTAACAGTGCTTATCAATGGAGAATACTGATACGGAAGGGAGGGAATTTGGCTTTCTGCTTTATATTTTCTGTGCAAGATTATACAGTTACAGTAATGGGCTAACAGACTTACAAAAAAGGGTAACCACAAGCCAAAAACTTACAAGTGAGTCACAAAAACTAAATAAAATCCATGGTAATACAAAGGAAAATTACAAAACCACAAAAGGAAGAAAGGAACAGAGGAAATACCAAATCAACTGCAAAAATAAGTTCAAAATGGCAATAAACACACATCTATCATTAATTACTGTAAATGTTAATGGACTAAAGACATAGCATGGCAGACTGGATAATAAAGCAAGAACCTTCAATATGCAGCCTACAAGAGACCCACTTTAGGG